AAGTTTTTCTGAACTTGTAAAATCAGATAAAACCTCCATTTTAGTTGTTTTTCTTAGTTTAGGTTTTAATAGTTATCTTATTAATTAAATAGCGTTCCTTGTGATCGACACCCGACTTAACTAAACTATTCTATAATTCGACTAGGTACACTACCTAGGTGTATTCTAGCTAGTTAAGTTTGTTAGGTTATAAATTCAAAACTAGATAGGTATAATTTACACACATCAATATTTGTTTTTTTATAATTACTCAAAAATAAATCAAAAAAAGAAATAAGGAATGATGACATGAAAATTAATGAGTGTTATAACATGTTATATCATGTTGACCACTTTCTCAATTGTTGTTGTAAGATCATGAATGACATGACATGTGAGGTAACATATTTTTTGTGTGATAACATGTCTTAACATGTAAGGTGACACTTTCTCGATTGGTGTTATTTTAGGAGTTTTTGACCCAAAAATATGTTCTTGAAAATGATAAACTCATCTTGAGTGATGTCAAATCAAGAGAGCACTATAAAAGAGAAGATTAATGAATTATATATGTTTTTATTTTAGATGAATTAGGTAGTTTTGAGACGAAATGTGGTGTATATACATGTGCTTTATTTTATGAATAATTTTATAAATATTGTTTATTTAAATAGTTGTTTTTTAAGTTCATTTTATATGTGTTTAAAATGTTGTTGATGGTTTTATCAAAGTAAAGATGAAGGAAATACATATTTGAAACATAAAAATAGTTCATCCCAAAATACAAATAGATATAGCCAAAGGACAATGGAATATGTATACAAAACAAAAAATATTTCAATGAAAGATCTTAGCTGATGGCTACCTTGAAAATTGAAATCCATGCATGAAATCTAAATGACATGTTAGGGGTCGTATACCTTCGACTTCATGAAGGAGAAGCAAATCGCTTGCTTGTGACATTGAGCCATGCAAGGATCCATTTTCGATGGTGTAGGTAGCATTTTGAAAAGGGAGATTGTGCAGGAAAGCCAACTAACCATATCTATTGGTATGTAACTATGGATGGTGAATGTCTTCAAAGAACAATGTGAATGTTGAAATGGCAATTGAGTTGGTTCTATATAAGCAAAAAAATAAATAAATAAATAAAAATGTAGATTATCATTCAGTGTCTTTCTAAAAAGAAAAAAATGAAATTAACATGTTATCCAAGTAAGAACGTGTAATTAGCAAAAAAAAAAAGTACCTTATATACATTGAAAAAATGAACTTTTACCAACAACCGTCTTTAGTCTAGTGGTAAGGAGTGACTCCGTAAAATGAAAAGTTATGGGTTCAAGTCTCATTAAGAGACATAGATAGTGTTTAGGATTAGATTAATAGGAGGATAGTATGTTGTTTCAAAAAAAAAAATAGTAAGAGATACCAAGGTAGGACCTTTAATATCCATGATTTTGTAATGACAATCAATTTCCTCCTACTAGATTCTAAGCATTTCGGATTTATATTTCTGGGAATGACAACCTAAACTCAAAGAAGTCGACACATGAAACTTAAGTGATAAATGATATCCACCAAGATAGATAATCAGAAAACTAAAATGAGTCACATGATTTTGTAATGACAATCAATTTCCTCCTACTAGATGCTAAGCATTTCGGATTTATATTTCTGGGAATGACAACCTAAACTCAAAGAAGTCGACACATGAAACTTAAGTAATAAATGATATCCACCAAGATAGATAATCAGAAAACTAAAATGAGTCATCGCCATCATCAAGCTAGAACATACCCAAATTAGTTTCATTTTGATTTCAATTTTCAAGTTTCATCATTTTGTCATTGCAAACCTTCATCGACCAATGTCAGAGGATTCACATGATCGATCCTAGCACTGATGACAAGATCTTCCACCGAAGTTGCTTGGATTTGATAGGATAGTATCGACGTAGTTTTTGTGGTTCTTTTCTTGGATCTTATGGGAAAATCAGCAAACCGTAATACATTAAGTTACAATATCGAAGAAGATGGGGATGGTGGTAAATGATAAAAATGATTTTGAAAGGCAAAGGAGCATGCAACGATGATTTTGTGCCAAACGTAATACATTAAGTTTCATAAATGGTCCCTACAGGTTACAAAATAATCATAAAATATAAAGATATATGTGAAAAGAAAAAAAGAAGAAGGATAAAATAAAGATATATGTGAAAAGAAAAAAAGAAGAAGGATAAAATGGTTATTGTAACTAAAATTTAAGCATTTTTTTTAATGCAGTATATTCAAGGGACCATTTATGTAATATCGACAAAGCACAATGATCAAATTTTTTCGAGTTTTTGAAGTTGAACTATAACTATATGTGCCTAGTATACCATACCATAGGTACCATTTTTATAATTTTCTCAAATCATTACATACAAATATTTACAACTTGTTATAAATGCTACAAGCACAAACCTTAACTTTTGTTAAAAACATGATAAAAAGGAAATTTACTTGTTTGTTTTTTTTTAAGAAGTTTACTTTTTCTACAATTTTTTTAAAAACTATTAATGCGAATTCTTTAAAAAGTTTTATCCCATCGTTGAATATCCCTATCTTTTAATCTAATTAATTAGAGTAAATTACACGAATGGTCCCTATGGTTTGGGATAATTTGCACGTTTGTTCTCTAACTTGATTTTTTAACTTGAAAAGTCCCTACAGTTTGTTTTTATTGCGCGTTTGGTCCCTATGTTATCTAAAAAACTATTTTTCCTTGATTTTTTAATCTATTTGAATATGATGGTGTAGGTAAGATAAGGTAATGTGAAGTGGAAGTGGGATTGAGGGTGTGTTTATTTAAATAATTTAAAAAATAAGGGCAAAATAATATTTTTAGGTAAGAAAGGGACTAAACGAGCAACAAAAACAAAAAATCGAGACCTTCCGAGTTAAAAATAAGTTAGGACCAAACGTACAAATTACCCCAAACCATAAGGATCATTTGTGTAATTTACTCAATTAATTATACTTAATAAAAAAAGCATATTACACCACAAAGCATATGATCAAAAATAACACTAAAATTGAACATTACTATAACATATTTATTTTAAATTTTATAAAATGATTAAAAAAATCTTTTAGAAGTTTTATTGAACAATCTTCTTTATTTGATAAAAGAATTATAACTTTTTCTTTTTGTATCATGATTTAATATAAAAAAAGTATAGATTAGGTTAAAGAAAAAAATGAGACCCATTCTTAAATGTTTAAAGGTCCATCAACAATAAATAAATAAATAAATATATATATATATATATATATATATATATATATATATATATATATATATATATATATATATATATATATATATATATATATATATATATATATATATATATGCTACGTAGTAGTTTAGTAAGTATTGTATGTCACTTACATAACATGTTTTACATACCAACATGTTGCTACGTTTCTAGTTTCTAGGGATAAATCAGCTTCAAAAATAACCACATCTCAATACTTGTTTTAAACATTTCTTCTATCTTTTATCAATTAATATCTACCAATCTACCAAATATTTTCCCTTCCTTTGTTAGTTGTTACTTGAATTAGCTTCATTACCTGAAAATACAAATCATACATAAAACATAACATGAGTTACAAAAATTACACATAACATAAATTACAATAAATACCACGGTTTTCTTGCAAAAGTAGTTTTAATAATTACCATATAACACATCATTCATGCAATAACATGAATTACAGTACTTGAACCATTTTCTTGCAAATTCTAAAAAAATGTTGTTTGTTTTTTTGAAGCAAAAAAAAAAATTCATAAAGTCTACGGACCACCTCTACAACCCTCTACAGTAGAAGAGGTGAATCAAACGGCTGCAGACTGTAATAAGAAACGTGTTTGTTTTTTTAACATCTAGATGCTGCTTCAGATATTAAAAAGTTAAAATAAACTGATTTTATAAACCAAAAATAGTTTTTAATACTGAAAAATTAATAATATATGACATTTCAGCAAGAATTTATGATATTTTAGCAAAAAAAATCATATTTCAACAAAAAAATAAATATATTTTAGCAAAAAAATAATGATATTTCATCAAGAAATTACATTATTCAAGATAAAAAAATTTCCACAAAAATAAACAAAAAAAAGTAAAATAAGATTTCAACAACATATAATAAAGTTTCCAACAAAAAAAAAAAGAATAAGTTGAAAGAGGTTAAAAGAAGCAATACAAGTACTATGCCAAAAAGAATATACATAGAGGTTTTTTTACTCTGAAGGTTTTTAAAAAACAAACAGCTGCGAGTGTACTCAGCCGCCAAGCAATAAAAGATCTGAAAAGTTTTTTTATAAAAAACAAACAACACCTTACTTAACAAATAATTCATCCAACTTTAGTTTTTTTGGGTTAATGACATGTGTATAATATGTATAATGTATGGGTAAGTTATGTATGTCTTTTCATATCCATGGTTGCTCACTATCATTGTAGACAAAATTACAGATATGGTCCTTGTAGTATATTGAAAATTGCATGTTTGATCCAACTTCCAATTTCATTACAAGAATGCTACCTTACCTGTGCTTTCCTTTTTTTGCAAAAACTGTTCTTTAGCACTAACTTTGTTAAAATGAACTTTTTACCCTTATATTGTATTTTTTTATTACATCTTATTTCTAACAAAAACTTTCTTCAACGTTATCTTTTCTTTCACCTATTTCTTTCTATAGGCTTAACAGATACCAGATTTCTGTTTATGAGAACCTCATCTAGATGGATTCAGAGACATCGATTGAGAGGGTCATATTAATAGCTTTATATTTTCCTGATTAATTTCAGAACTGAGGACCTGTATGCGGGTGTTTAATTAACCAGACATAAAGAACAAGTTCTAACTTTATACATATTCGATTGCAAACGAAAAAAAGCCTTAATATGAAAACCTAATTGAGTACACACCTGATTCATACTAAAACACCATCGGCTATCTTAAGCATCATGTCGTATGCTTCTCCAATATTTCCATCACAGCTTCATTATACACAGCTTCTTCTTTATCTGCAGAAGCATCCTCATTGTTCATAACACCATCATTTCCACCCTCGAGATCTTTCATCTTCATTACACAAAAATATATCCCCTTCATCACATACCCTGAAACTGGCAATTTCAAAACGGAAATGTAACCATTACTTATTTTAGTAGGAAGCTCTAAATGAGTCATCACAGCTTCAGAAGCTGAATGTTGTACCCATTCCTTCACCTCAATGAGCTTTTCCCCACTCAGAGAAAGCTTCCCTCTTCTCCCTAACTCAGTAATGGAAACCTTTTCCAATTTTGGTAGATCCTTAACCAAGTACAACAATATCGAATGCCAGACCATCGAATCCCTAAAACACTGAAACGAAACGACTAATTTCTGATTAAACATATCGTTGCGTAACTCGTTGTCTTCTTCTTCTTCTTCTTCCTCATTTCCATTAATACAGAATCCATCCTTGTCAAAAATTGAATGTGGTGACAGAAATATGAACGATTTCATTCTGCAACAGAACTTAGCTTTCCACCTGAACAAAAGACGATCATCAATATCTCTATGACTGGATGAAGGAAGTTCGATCCATAAGAACTTCACTCCTTTAAATTTGCTCAAAAACGTATGCGCGGATAGAAAGGACTGACTTGGGGAGACGTCACTGACGGTGTTCTTATCGGAAATGCGAGGGTTTAAGTTTAATAAAGGAGCAGTGAAGGAAATGGCTTCGATTTGAAGTACAATCGAGGACAAATGTTTGGAAACGAGATAGCAAAAGCATAGGGTTTTCAAATCGATTAATTTGTTTAAAATCTGGAGGATGATTTCATCTGGTAAACGACTAAATGAAGAAGAAACATTTGCATCTTCTTCGCGAGATTCCACGCTGTTCTTCATTCTTTAGAATAGTAACCAATGGTTTCTTACATCGGGATACTGTCTGAAACCCTAATCATCCCCTCTCTGATCTTTTCTCAAAACAAACGAGAATTCTGTCTCAAGAGTTCGTCATTTTTGAAACTCCATTTACGCTAGAGCATTTTCGAGGACGACACTTGGAGGTGCTTGAAAACAAAAATCCACTTGGAGGTGCTTGAAAACAAAAATCCACTTTCAAATTTCAATGGTTTTATCCGATCTCTACATTTAAACCATTAAATACCGACCATTACTATAAAATTTGTTTTTATTATAAAACCATTAATATGTAATACTTATAACAGACAAAATTGCTAATTTAGCGGAACGTGTTAATTATTTTGTGGAAAATAATAAAAAGAAAAAAAAAACTTAAATTGTATTTTTAGCCACAAAAATCACAGATTGATTAAACTCATGTGATTTTGACAATCCATCCGTATAAACCGCTAAAACACAGACTTGCTTTAGTGATTTGTACGTTTGTAGATGGTTTTTTGTTTTTACTGTATAAATACATCATTCGCCCCCTTAAAATCACATATGGATTAAGCCCATTTGCGATTTCCACTCCATTTTAACTAAGATTTTAGGGTTTTTTTTTTTTTTTTAATTTATTTATTTTGACTACGAATAATTAAAAGCTAAAACAGATTAATGTTAAGTAATTAGAAACTTCAATCCTTATAACAACTAAACAAGTATAAAGTTGAAGTTTTAAACATAATCAAACTTTCCAAGAGAGTTTTCCAATAAAAAAAAATGAAAAATAAAGCAATTTTTTTTTTTCATTTTTATACTAGCCATAACTATCTTTACAGATGAGTTCCTATGTTCACAGAAAGTCCATTTACGAACGTACAATTCGCTAAAGCATGTTTGTGCTTTAGCAATTTGTATGTTTGCAAATGGGTTGCCAAAATCGCATATGGACTTTAATCCATCTGCGATTTTGGTTGTTAAAAATGCAATTTGAGTTTTTTTCTTTTTTTCTTTTTTTTTTTTTTTTTTCTTTTTTAGCTATTTTTCACAAAGTAATTAACATATTTGACAAAATTTATAATTTTCTCTAGATTATATATGTATATTTTATCTTTGTTTATCCGTTTATAACCGATTACTGCAATTAAAGACATTAAATTAGTTATTCCATAAGGTCAAACATTATTTGTATATCAAAACAAAAGAAATAACTTACTAATATTCGTTAGAAAAAACATCATAAATGGTCCCTCTGTTTTCCAAGATTCTGAAGTTTAATCTCCATGGTTTAAAAATCTCATAAATGGTCCCTGTGCTTTAAAAACTTTTGATTGATGGTCCTTATTGCTAACTCCGTTAACTTTTGTCCGTTAATTGAGGGCATTTTCGTCATTTCACACCACAGGGACCATTTATGATCTTTTCAGTTATTTTTTTAAAAAAAGAAAAAACTAAATATAATTATTTAATATATAAAATCTCTCTCTCTCTCTCTCTCTCTCTCTCTCTCTCTCTCTCTCTCTCTCTCTCTCTCTCTCTCTCTCTCTCTCTCTCTCTCTCAGAACACATATACAGACAATCAAAATCCTCTTCACCTCCTTGTGTCACACCGATGTTTACTTCTGGGAAGCCAAGGTAACTATTATTCCCTGTTTTGATCTTGTAAAAAACCCAAAATTAAAATCATAAATCTTTGTTTTCGAACTTTTCAGGTTAGAATGCTTTGTTTCCTCGAATTTTTGGACATGAAGCTGGAGGGTATGTTTGATTCTTGTTAAAACCGGAAAAGCGTTTCTTTTAATCTTTGATCTGAAAATAATCTAATAAGCTTTTAAACATGAACAGGGTCGTGGAGAGTGTTGGGGAAAGAGTGACTGAGGTTCAGCCCGGAGATCATGTCCTCCCTGTTTTCACCGAAGAATGCAAAGAGTGCGCCCACTGTAAATCCAAAGAGAGCAACATGTGCGACCTTTTGAGAATCAACACCGATAGAGGAGTCATGATTAACGATCAAAAATCTCGATTTTCCATCAACGGAAAACCCCTTTTCCATTTCGTAGGAACTTCACCATTCAGTGAATACACCGTCGTTCATGTTGGCTGTCTCGCCAAAATCAACCCTCTTACTCCTCTTGACAAAGTCTGCATCCTCAGTTGTGGGATCTCCATAGGTATAAAAAGAAATCATAGTATCCTCTGATTGCAGTTCAATTGTTGTTTTCTTGACCTAATTAATCTTCGTGTTTTCTTCAAGTCCCTGTGCAGCTAATTAATCTTCACCCCTATCAGATCTATGTCGCCAACCCCCTTTCTCAGGGTGTTCTTTAAAAATGCAGAGCGTAGGATTTTATGATTGGGTCGATTTTGGCATGAAAGAGAAGAAGAAAAGAAATTAATGACTTCTGATTCGAGTTTACTGATAAATTTCATTGGAACACCGTCATTAACAACCTTGTAGAGAAGTTGTTGTTTGGTTTGTAGGTCTTGAAAAAAAGGCGACTTGTGGTAGTTCTTCAATTGAACAATGGGAGTTTTGTTGATGTGTTTGAATCAGAAAAAAGAGGCATACGAACACAGAAGTTGGTTGTTGCTTTAGAGAGAGAGAGAGAGATTATATATTAAATAATTATATTTAGTTTTTTCTTTTTAAAAAAAAATAACTTAAAAGATCATAAATGGTCCCTGTGGTGTGAAATGACGAAAATGCCCCTCAATTAACGGTCAAAAGTTAATGGAGTTAGCAATAAGGACCATCTGTCAAAAGTTTTGAAAGCACAGGGACCATTTATGAGATTTTTAAACCACGGGGACTAAACTTCAGAATCTGGGAAAACACAGGGACCATTTATGATGTTTTTTCTATTCGTTAAGAAAGTTAAGGATGTTTCAATGTTCAAATTGGCTGCTCAATTTGTACACTAAAACATGTTTTTATCAAAAAGTATATTGTAATTATTAGACGAGTTAAAAGCTATTACCCAAAATTGCAAGTACTCTTTGATAAATAAAAAGTTCCGACTAATAAGAAAACATAAATGCATAATTTCGGTTGTGATAGATAGATAAAATATGAAAAACACTTTACCATATGATTGAATCATAGAAATACAATTAGAATATGAAAAGTGATCCTTAAGCAATCTTGTGTGAAAGTATTTCGAAGTGAAGTCCATTCCAAAGTCAAGATCAGTCTGAGATGCATCTTTGTGTTGAAGTAATTTGTGTTTGTAATGTGCATTTGTTATTACAAGTAATATTTTGTATTGTTATTATTGTCTTACAGTATAGTACAAGAGACAAGATCAACAACAACAAATATATCAATTTGTTGATCTTCAGGTGTCTCTCAGTCTATGTGAACTTTGTCAGTTTTATCTTATAGTTAGTCCTTAACTATTTTAAGGAGTAGTCATCCTTTATATCAAGGGAAATCTCCAATAAAGTCCTAAAATTTTGGCTCGGTTTACGTTTTAATCCTAAACTAATTTTTGTTTACGAAAAAATCCTAAAAACCGGTAAAAATATGTATTTTGACCCTTTTTGACCGGTTGGAACCGACAACAAATTAATTTGGGACTATTTCATAAACTGACACAAAATATTAGGACTATTTCACAAAATGACCCAAAATATTGGGACTTTTCTACAAAAAATATTAGGACTTTTCTAGCAAACAAAAACATTATTATTATTATTATAATTATTATTATTATTATTATTATTATTATTATTATTATACTAAAAATATAAACATATGCACTAATTTTTAAATTCATTATTATTAATATTTTTAATAATACATATAAATACACTTAAATAAAAAAAATATTAAAGAAATTATTTAAAGGTGATGGTGGTGGTGATGATAATGTTTTAAGCAATGAAATCATGAATATTTGCTTGCATGTCCTCACTTTGGGCGTGTTTGGCAAAAGTAGCTATTAGCTGAAAACGGATAGTGGTTAGCTGGTAGCTGGTAGCGAGAAGCTGTAACTTTTATTTGTTATATGAATGTTTGGCAAAAGTAGCTGAAAGCTTTTGAAATATATAAAATTACATAAAAGAACAATTGATTAAAAATAAATAAACATATAATATATTTTTAAGGGTAATTATGGAAATTGATTTCAAAAGCTCAGGAGTGTTTTGTTAAACACTACATGAAGTAGCTTTTAGAATCGGTGCGTTTTGTTAAAACTAAAAGCTAAACACTCGTACTGCCAAACAGGGCTTTTTGTTTAAACTAGAGCATTTTATCAAAAGCTAAAAACTAGAAGCTCCCAAACGCTTCCAAAAGCTCTGTGTCAAACACGCCCTTTGTATAAGATCATTTTACATTTCTTATTATTGTTTTCAATTCAAAATATTAACACTTAATGATTTAAAAGAAGTTGTTTATTTGTAAAATTATGTATAAATAGTTTACGATAAAAGAATTTCTCACTTTGTATATAAAATTTCTTAAGGTAGAATGATTTCTTTTCAAACCCAACAAATCTACAATAAATATTTATATTGGTGGCCCATATCAAAATTCAAAAATATTAATTACAATATCTTGTTTAATAGAAAGTAATATATCTTGTTTTGCTTTATCACACTATATCTGTTATGTTTCCAAAAAAACCACAAGGATAAAGTAATGAAAAAGAGCAACACACATGTTGGTAATTCAAATACTTACACACAAGACATACATGCATATCACACGCTCACTATTTGTAAACAATGTGAAAAATCAGTAGCTTCATTAAATTGTTAAATGTTAATATTCTAAATTTAAAACAATAATAACAAATGTGAAATGATCATATACAAAGTTAGAATATACAAAAAAAAAACATTCATGATTTCAATGCTTCAAGCATTATCATCCGCTCAACCTTCACCTAATGTCTTTAATATTTTTTTTATTTAAATGTATTTATATGTATTATTAACAACATTAATAATAACAAATTTAAAAAATAATATACTTATTTATATTTTTAATATTATAATAATAATAATAATAATAATAATAATAATAATAATAATAATAAGGTTTTTGTTTGCAGAAAAACCGTAATATTTTTTGTTTTTGCAGAAAAATCCCAATATTTTGGATCAATTTATGAAATAGTCCCAAATTAATTTGTTACCGGTTCCAACCTGTCAAAAATGGTCAAAATGCAAACCTTTACCGGTTTTTAGGACTTTTTCGTAAACAAAAATTAATTTAGGACTAAAACATAAACCGGACCAAAATTTTAAGACTTTATTGGAGATTTCCCTTATATCAAAGTGTAGAACATGCACCTTTTCACTTATATCAAGAACCATTTAGTCAATATTCTCTTTTATATTCTTCTTTTTCCTGAATCCCTTTACATTGTTCATACTTATTAATTATTTATACTTTGAGCACTTTGTTGATTATCTTAATTCAGAGGCAAGACTGGTTTACCAGAATTGACTGGATCTTTATTCTTAGCAAACATTGATCTTAAGTTAATTCAAGGTTTGAGTTCTGAAACCTTGTCAGCATCGTTATTTGCTTTCATAATTAGTATCAAAGCCTAAGTGGTTGTCCTTTAAATCCATAAGAAATAATTATAGTTGGTTGTAGATTACCTTGGTATCTCAATGATTTTTTTAAACAACCCAAAATACAAGCCAAAAACAAGAAGATCAAACAAGTGATTCAAGGTAAACTTATAACTCTGAATTCTTAATATTGTTATGCTAGAATAACCATTATAAGTCTTGAATTCATGCATGTTCAATTAGAGAAACCTAGATACAAGCATTAGGGTTTGTATGTACACATATGAATGTTCATATGGCTAAAACCCATCAGTGGTATCAGAGACTAGATTGGTTTCTATTGAATTAATGCATTGGTTACTTGTTTGATGCTTGCAAAATTCGAATTTTTGTGTTCTTGCCTGATGAACTCGGCGAGTCCCATTGTGGAATCGGCGAGTCCATGCGTCAGAAAGAGCTAATTTCGGGATTTCTTGTTGTTTATCCTTTTGAAACTTACCTTAATCATATTAGGTCAATATAAATCCGATTTTATTTGAGTATATCCTTGACCTAATTGAAGATATTTATCAATTAATTAAATATTAGTTTACTTATGTGATAATTGACTAATTATTTTAATTAAATTGGTAAATTGTTTTGCAAGAAATAATTAAATAAATCAAATATGAATAATTGTGTGATTTGTAACGCCCGCAGATCCGGGCTAGTCAATTTATAGGCAATAGGGGTCGAAAATGACTTTTCGACAAAAGATTATTTAGAATAAATAATCTTAACCAAGTTTTAGAATATGTCACAAGGTTTTCGTACATATAAAGAACGCCGAAATCCGAGTTATAACGAAGAAGTTATGGCCCGCCGAAGTTTTACGGTAAAACCGGCACGGCACCGGGAGACGTAAATAGTGAATTTACGATAGAAGAGTTTTTAGCCTTATCAATCTAAACAAAAGTCGTAGAATATGTTAAACTAAGAACATCGATAAAAAGAACGCCCAAATCTGACTTCGTATGAAGAAATTATGATTTTTCTAAGATTCGGCTTAGCAGTGCACGGCCCGAAACTCGAATTTTAGTTCGAGCGGTTTTTGGCTTACGCAACCTAAATGAGAGTTGAAGGTCTCATTAATAGGAACTCAACGGTAAAAATACAGACGAAAACGGAGTCCGGATGAAGGAGTTATGAACTCTTCGCGGTCATTTAACAGTCTAAACGCCTCCTACTATTAAATTTGAGATCGGTCAAGAATTAGCTGATGAAGTCTAAACAAAAGTTGTAGATCTTGATTTTACCTAGGCGTGGATATAAAGAACGTCGAAAACGGAGCTCGTATGCGAAAGTTATGATTTTTTCTAAGTTTGAAGGTTGATACGCGATAGGGGGTGACGTGGCACCACCAGAATTGGACACGTGGCACCACCAGAAGGCCACCACATGGACCAACTAGGCGAGTCATGACTCAGACTCGGCGAGTCCACCAGTCAGGCCTCCTATAAATAGAGGTGTTGGGCATTCACTTCTCTTCACACCTCTCCAACATTCTTTCTCTCTCTAGTTTCTCTCTCTAGCCTCCCAAACCCTCCCTAAAGCCTAGGTAAACCCCCTAGCACCCGAAGGAAGCCCCGAGGCTCCCGGAGTCCCAAGAAAAATAGTCATTCGGCTCGGGAAACG